TCCCCTCGTGATTGAGGCTTCGCCGTTTATGGCATCTCTGACCCTGGGGAAATTGTTTAACCTCATTAACCCAGTATTTCTCATCTGTAAAATGGGATTAATAATACCCACTTGATAAGGTTCTGGCGAGGAACAGATGAAGTAATGTTCCTAAAATTCTGGCACAGTGCCTGATGCCTGACAGCCGGCATTCACTGATGGGAGCCGTTACTTTTGTTCCTGGGAGTTGGGACGCATGGAACCTGCAGCCAGTTCTGCTGCTGACAATGGCCATGATCCAGCCCATCTGAATCTCAAGCCCCTGTGGCAACCGTATGTCCTTTTGACCAATAAGGTGAGGATGAAACTATATATGAAGATTACATACTAGGATCTTCAGATGATACGTGCAGTGGCTTTCTGAAAAAGCAGGGAAGGTGGTACCGATGTACAAGTTAAAGATGAAGGAACAGTAAGCAGAGCAGAAGAAGGGCAAAGCCGTTGACCTGAGTTGAGGTTGTAACTGGAACTTTCCCACAGGAGTCCTGTTTGCAGAGAAAAGTTGAGTGAATTGTATTTACTGTCTTCTGTGAAAAAAAGCTTTTTAACCCAGAAACCCAGCAGCACCATTCGCAGATCCACCTGCCTTGTGACCTGTCGTCAAGAGAGGGCCAGCCCCGAACGGACCTTGGGGAAAGTCTAATTGCGTCTTTCCCAGGTGAGGGCTGCACCGTTGGTTATTAGGGAACTAACTCCCTGACAGGCCTGGCCGAGGTTTACTCCTTCACTCGGGAGTGAGAAGAGGAACAAAAGAGCCCATTTCTCCAGCCTGGCAGACTGTGGAAGCATCCAGTGTAGACATGTGAGCTTGTCCATACCTCTCAGACTTACAAAAATTGTCTGTGTGCTAAAGGCAAACTCACATCAGAATTCCTGGCCGTTTTCACATCCCTCCCCTGCCGTGGGTCCTCTACAGACATTTAAGAGTCAGGACAAAGAGAAATTATATTCTAGTCCCGCTGCGCTCATTGAAGTGGGTTCGTGATTCTTACCATGTTTTTTTTTTTCCTGGTATGGTTACACGCTACAACATGGATGGGAAAGACGCAATAACTTATTTGGAATCAGAAGCTGATTTGTAGTTGGGGGTTATAAATGTTTTTAGCAGCTTAGGCCACCACTCACCCGAGATTCCATTTGGAATCACGTTGTCTGTACAGAGCAGCGCCAGCTCCAATGTTAATCAAGTTTAATTTGTCAGCCAGGACTGCTTTCGTACAACAGACATTTGGAGGCATTGCCTATTAGAATTACAAGTCTTCAGCACTTCCTTGAAAGCCTATCTGAAGGCTTGATTGGGACGGCCACCTTATTATTATTGTTGTTGCTTTTATTGTTTAAAGAGCGGTTGATATGGGAGTGAGAAGGGGATGGGCTGGAACTTAACATGCCCCCTTGGCCACCCCTCCCTAAAAGATGATTTAAAAACAGGCAGTGAGCCAGAGAATTTTCAAGGCTAAGTTTCTCACATGGAAGAGAAAAATTATTGCAATGCCCTTTAGCTAAGTACACTCACTTCAGCCTTTATGGATAGCAGCGGTCACGTGGTCACCTCTTCACGAGGACAAGAGCTTGAAACAATCACATGGCAGAACCTCTGGAGAATGGAGGCTGGATGGTATCTGATGGTAGGGCACAGGGACTACCTTTTTTTTTTTAAGGCAAAGACTTTTTGACGAAGTTATCTTCTTGCCAAAAAACTAAAGTGGTCTGATCTCCTTTTCTTCTTATCCATCATTGTGCTAGCAAAAAGAGATAGTGGTCAGTCCTGAGTCTTAGCAGACAGGTAGGGCAATGCAGTGGGCAATTTAGCTTAACGCACACTTGAGGTAACGGCCCTCTGCAGTTTAGCCTTCAAAAGGGTGTATGTGCGGCATGGAAAGGAGCAAATGGAATGATGTGAAGGTGAATGAAGACTCTCTAGTAAACTTGCAAATGAGAATTATCTGAAGTGTATTCCCCTATCCAAAGGATCCAAGGAAGTCACTGATTGGAATTAGAACAGGGTAATTTTATATGTGAAGTGTATCATGAGACCAATAAAAGAATGTAGAAATGACACCTAGCCAGGCACTGAAAGAAGTTGGATCTGGCCAGGGTAAGAACCAGGATCTAATTGGATTTGTGTGTTATTTCCGTGGGTGTATAGGAGATTGTGAGAGTGAGTGTGTGTGTGTGTGTCTGTGTGTTTGCACTGAATGGAGGCTGACTGTTAAAGGACATGGTTCAAAGTTTGGCCTCTATAAAATGTGGTCTGTACTTTGGGCTCAGTCATCCTTGGCTCATACCTTTAGTTGTTTCTATAAAGTTGTTTTTATAAAATAACCCCTTGTTCCTGATGGGTACCTGACCTGGGTGAGTAGTTGTAACTGTAGTCTTGATGATTTGTTGTCCGGATTTTGTGAAAATTGGAATCTGGATAATGCATTCCTCCTCCTCAACTTAGCAATCCGAATACCACTGTAAAGTAGAGCAGTGCCAGCTTTCACAACTTTAGGAAAATTCAGGTCACCTATAAATGCAGTGTCCACCAGGGAATTACCTTCCTGTGAACTTGGCACTCTGACTCACCTTCTTACCTCTCTCTTTTTAAAGTAGTGTTCCTTTTATGTTGAATGACATCACCCTAGCTCTCTGCTTGGTGACTCCTGCTGCCCCTTGAAGGCCTGGATAAAATATACCCACCCTGTGAAGACCGTCCCCATCCCCAAATAGAACTAATTCAGTCCATTAATATTTCTCATAGAAGAATCTCCAATAATGATGGCTGGCACTTATTGAGCATTTAATGTTCACTAATCCCTTTATAAGCAATAATTATTTAATCTTTGTGTCAACTTTATAAGGCAGGAGCTATTACCATCCCCAGTTTACAGATGAGATAACTGAGGGGCTTCAAGAAGTTTAGTAACTTGTCCAGGGTCTCAAAGCCAGGCAGAGACAGAGCCGTGGCCTAAACCCAGGCCTTGTTGATGCTCTGAGTGACATAAATGACCTCTGAAATGACCTCTTAATCACTTTGTTCTCTCTTATTCTCCCTGCTCCCATGCCTGCATAGGGATATAGAATTTATGGTCACATTAATTACAGTTTGGTATGTATGCCCTCCAAAGCAAAAATGTGAGGTTCAAGATGGTTGAAAATGGCAACCTTAGTAAAAGAATAATCCTTAAAAATCTTGACTCTCATACAGATATAAAATGAACACTTGTTAAAAATTTTATATAACTCATTAATAAATGAAGGAACCAAGAAATTTGTTAGAATAGCTTCATAGGAGGACCACGAATTTATATGGTATAAAAGACTGTTGAAATGAATTTACAGATGGATACAAAACTGGAGGGGAAGTCACCTGAACCTCCACTGGACAGTTTCTTTGCACCTATAGAGAAGAACTGTTTGCATTGCTTTCGCTTATCCACGAGTTACAAAGTTGTAGTCCACGGACTGAAGCCTGTAGTCCTGTGGGATCAGATGATGCCTGAGGGTTTATCATTCCATTAAAAAGATGCTCACTCCAAAGTCTTCAATTTTCCCCACACCTTTGAGAAAGAGTATTTGTTACACAGCAAAGGGCAGATGCTCATGGTTAGACAGACTCTGAATCCAAAGTCCCAAACTTACTATGTGCCCTTAAGTAAACTTTGTAGAAGAATACAAAAAAGTTCACATGCGTGTATGAGCGTGTGCACACAGACAACCTGCAGAGAGCGATCTGGAGAGGATTAAATGTAGTAATACAGGAAAAGCCCCCGGCACACAGTAGCGACTGCTAAATGTCAGGCATTGTTAGTAATAAAGTGCCTAATAGATAGTTGTTGCTTAATAAATGTTTGTTGAGTGACAAAACCAGGAGTGGACAGACTTTTTCCTATTAAGGTCCAGATAGTAAATATTTTAGGCTTTACAGGCCATATGGCGTTTGTCACAACTGTGAAACTCTGCCGTTATAACTCGAAAGGAGTCCTAACAGTATTTAAACGCATGAATGTGATTGTGTTTCAGTAAAACTTTCCTCCTAAAAAAACATACACTGGGCTAGATTTTGCCTTTGGGCTGTAGCTTGCTGACCCTGGCCCAGAGTATTAAAATGGCTAATTCAGAAGCATAGAGTGAAGGATTCAATTCTAGTCAGACCTATTGGTAGACTTTGCTAGTGTCACTCAACAGAAAAACCTGGGCAGAGGCTGGCCAGTGCTAATCAGAAGTTGTAACACAGGAGAGAGTATTCCCCTTTGTTATTATTCCATGGAAATTGAATGTTGGAATTGCAGTCTTAGATTTAGTTGCAGATTTAGATTTTGTTAGCAGATAGTGAGACCTCTAATGTGGGAGGCCCACCAAAGTGCGGGTCCTTGCCACTGGCTGAGAAAGATTTTGCAGTAGAGGCAGAGGGACAAAGTGAAAAAGTTGCTTTATTTCCCAAAAGAGGAAAAGGAAGGGAAGTGCTCAAGCAGAGACAAGGAAAGAAAAGTGCTCAGGAGGGGAGCCGTCAGCCAAGATGGCCTGTAGAGACAGTTCCGGCCCGGGTCGGGCCACGTGGTCTTTTGTGGGAGGCTTCTGCCATCATATCCTCCTTCCGGGTGTGATGGAACCCATCAGTCCTCGTACAGGCTTTTCAGTCCTTGCATGGGTTTTTCTGGTTGTTGTCATGGCAGTTGTCAACTGTCATGGCGCTGGTGGGTGTGTCACTTAACATGTTAATACATTACAGTGAGCGTATACTGAGCCTCAAGGTCCACTGGAAGTCAAATCCTCCACCGTCTTGGCTGTTGGGTCTGACCAGTTCTGGTGTCTTCTCTTTGCCACCTGAGACTTAGATAAGAGTGATTGGTTTCTGTTTGGGGGAGGGGCAGGGGTATGATCCTGGGGGCAACAACCTTGGTAACAAAAAGAAAAGCTGCTTTTAATCAGAATGGCTGCAATCTGGTAGACCCAGCACCCCCCCCCAAAAAAAACCCCCAAATCTCTGAAGATTTTGTTCAGCCATGAAAGCTTTAAAGGGAAATGGGGGCATAATCTCTGTTAACTGTTGAGATAGGTGGTCAGAGTCATTGCCACCCCCCAGTGCCTGAAGGCTTCTCCTAATCAGCGGCTTGAGCCTGCTCTTCTAAGGTTTAGGGAGGCCTGGGAGACTTCAGCTTTTCTATGAACAAGAGGGGCAGGGTTGGTGGGGGTAGGGGAGCACTGCTCGGTATCAGTTTGATTATCTTTTCAACTGCATACTAGCTGGGTGATCACAGGCAGATTACCCACCAGGTCTGTGCCTTGGATACACCAACCCTGCGATAATGGTGGGGGAATGTAAACTACAAAATACTCTACCAAGGTAGTAAGTCCTCACTGCTAGAGGGGGACAGAAGTAGCCCTCGGTGGGTTCTTCCATTCTGTGGAAACTGTGTGATGCTTATGGTTGAATAGTGGACCAGCAATTTCAGCAAACAATAAAGATGTAGGATAAAAAGTTTCTCTTATTGTCATGAAACAGTCTCCAGAGTAACATAGTCTGAAAATCATTGTATTGCGTTAGTTTTGGAAGGTTGTTAAATGTTGGCATCATGTTAAGTGGTCTTAACAAATAAGTATTTGTCTTGAAATGGCCTTACATAATGTTCCATGTGTAGCCAAAAATGGCCTCTCTGCCTTAGGCACGACTGAGTTTTTTGAAAGTAAGGCAGTCAACCCAACCTAAAGTTGGAAAAAACATTAAGGACCATTAAAACCCAACATTTGGCCACACACTTTGAAGAAGGCCCATTAGCCATGCAAGTATGAAGTTACCTGCACATCTAATAAGGACAATTAACCGAACAATGAATGCCATTAACGACTACTTGTGAGACATTAAGCCCTTGGAAAACTTGGCTTTGGTGCCTTGGAAAGTGGAGAAAGACTGTAGAGAGAGGTCTCCTTTGGCAGTTTTAACGCAAAAAAAAATATTTTTATCCATTAGACCCAATACCTCCTTATGAATATCCCCCATTTAAAAAATTGAATGATTGTGTTTTTCATGTCTCTTCACGTTCTTTCTACTGGGCTGGATCAAATAAAGACATGTTTTCAGGTGGACCCAGTGTTTGAAAATGACCCACATTTTATTCTTGAAGATGTAATTGTAATCATTGATTTAAAAACCTGTGTGCCCCATTTTAGGACAGAATCTGCCTTTCCATCTGGGTGGTTGTGTTGTGTAAGAAGAGGGTGTAAAGCTGGGGGGTGACGAATACAGCAGACACTGGGCGGTCAGCTTCCCGCAGAGCCACCTACTGGCCTTGTGCCTTTGCTTAGTCTGAGTCTCAGTGACCTCATTTGTAAAACGGGGGAAAGGCAGGGCCTACCTGCTGTAGGGAAGAAGTGAAAACTGTCCAGGTGAAGGGCATCGCAGTGCCTGGCTTTGAAGTGGAAACCGTCGCTCTTGCACCCCATCGTTACCATTGTTGTTTTCAGCTGCAAAATTCTCTGTCAGTGTCCAGATGTCCTCGTCAGTTTGTGCTACTGTAACAAATACTGTGAACTGGGTGGCTTGTGAAACAACAAACATGTATTTCTTACAATTCCAGAGGCTGGGAAGCCTACGATCCAGGTGCCAGCCAATCTGGTTCCTGGCTTGCAGACAGCTGCCTTCTCGCTCTGTCAAGGTCATCCTTGCGTCTCTTTTTGTAAGGCTACTCATTTCATTCATGCGGGTTCCACCCACTGGACGTAATTACCTCCCAAAGGCTCCACCTCCAAGTACTATCCCGTTAGGGCTTCAACCTATGAATTTTAGGGGGGATACAGACACTCAGCCTGTAGCATCAGGTCAGTGATACAAAAGGGGACTGGCTGGAGCTGCCGGAGCTGTCTGGGTGTAGGATGCTGTAGGCCATTGTTGACTAATCCTCCCGTCCTCATTTACAGTACGCTCAGGATGAGAGTTTCTGTTTATCGTATCATCAGGTTTCTGCTGCCTTTCCTTCATAGCCCCTCCTTTCTATCTGTTTCACTGGGCTTCGTTTTAACATAATCTGCATAGATTTTAAAAGAATCGAAGTATAGTTGATTTACAATGTTGTGTTAGTTTCAGCTGTACAGCGAAGCATCCTATACCTGGATTTTTGCAGTTAATTTCAAGTCAGCCTCCTTTCCTTTATTGTCCCCCACCCTCAGCTCCATCACCCTCACGTCTTGCAGGGAGCCGCTCAGTTTTCATAAAGCCAGCTTTCCTTGTGGCCCCTTGCACCTTCCCATGAGTGAGGGAGGAGGATGCTTCGCACGGCCACCAGGACTGGCTCAGGCCCAATGGCTTGGCTGGCTGTGGTGCGGTCCCCAATCCCACCAGCCTTTCAAACCCATCCCTGCTCATTGACACAGCGACTCTGCTCCAGCAACGGCTCGGCTCTTTATTCACAAGTCCCGCAATAAGCTCAGTGCTTCCAGTGCAGCGCCCACTGTCGCCTGGACAGCCCTTCTGTTCTGCCTGACTCTCCAAGTCATGGGCTTGTTTAAATCCCAATTCATGTTCCAGCTTTAGGCTACTCTCCTGCCGCTTCTTTATGAAACGAAGATCCTTTGTCCCAGGCATTTGAAGCTGATGCACCACCTTATGTTCTGTGCCCACTGTAGTGTCCCCTGTCCTTCTTTCTAGCCCTCAAAAGTGCCAGGCATCTTTTCCTTTACCCCACAGCTACTCGCACATCCTTGATTATAGCATTTTGTGAGTTGTTTCATAAATAACCTGTTCACAGATCACAGAGACCATCTGGGACTTGGTTTTAGCCGTCTCCCTAGCACCTAGCACAATCTATGGTCCGTGGAAGGTGCTTAATAAATGCCTGTGAAATGACTAAATGGCTGAGCAGAAATCAGGCATGCCAACACACATCTGTTGAATACAAGCAGAATTAGTTTTATTGTGCTTCACGTTATTATGCTTTGCAGATACAGTGTTTTTTGTTTTTTGTCTTTTAACAAAATTAAAGGTTTGTGGCCACCCTGCATCGAGCAAGCCTATCGACACCATTTTTCCAGCAACATTTGGTGACTCTGTGTCTCAGTGTCACACTTTGGTAATTCTTATAATATTTCAAACTTCTTCATTATTATTATTCTTGTCATGGTGATCTGTGATCAGTGATCTTTGATGTTGTTATTGTTCTGGGGCACCACAAACCATGCCCATGTAAGACAGTGAACTTAATCAATAAATGTGTGTTGACTGCTTCCCTTACCAGCTGCTCCCCCGTCTCTCTCCTCATCTGGTCTCCCTGTTCTCTGAGACACAACAATATTGAACTTAGGACAATTAATACCCCTGCAATGGCTTCTAAATGTTCCAGTGAAAGGAAGAGTCGCACATCTCTCACTTTAAATAAAAAGCTAGGAGTGCGTAAGCTTAGTGAGGAAGGCAAGTCAAAAGTGAAGACAGGCTAAATCCTGGGCCTCTTGCACCAAACACTTAGCCAAGCTGTGAATGCAAAGGAGAAGTTCTTGAAGGACCTTAAAAGTGCTGCTCCGGTGAAGACATGGACTATACAGTGAAACAGCCTTACTGCTGATGTGGAGAAAGTCTGAGTGGTCTGGACAGAAGATCCAAAGAGCCACAACATTCCTTCAAGCCAAAGCCGAATCCAGAGCAGGGCCCTAACCCTCTTTAACTCTGCGAAGGCTGAGAGAGGTGAGGAAGCTGCAGAGGAAAAGTTCGGAGCTAGCAGAGGTTGGTTCATGAGGTTTAAAGAAAGAAACTGTCTCGGTAACAGAGAAGCACAAGGTGAAGCAGCCAGTGCTGATTGGAAGCTGCAGCAGGCTTTCCAGGAGCTCTTGCTCTGATCATTCATGAAGGTGGCTACACCAAACAACGAATTTTCAACGCAGACAGAACAGCCTTATGTGGGAAGAAAATGCCATCTAAGACTTTTTATAGCTAGAGAGGATAAGTCAATACCTGGTTTCAGAGCTTCAAAGGACAGGCTGACTCTCTTGTTCAGGGCTAATGCAGCTGGTGACTTGAAGTTGAAGCCAGTGCTTATTTACCATTCTGCAAATCCGAGGGCCTTTAAGGATCATGTTAAGTCTACTCTGCCTGTGCTCTATAAATGGAACAACAAAGCCTGGATGACAGCACATCTGTTTACAACATGGGTTACTGAACATTCTAAGCCCACTCTTGAGACCTGCTGCTCAGAAAAAAAATTCCTTTCAGAATGTAACTGCTCACTGACAATGCACTTGGTCACCCAAGCGCTCTGATGGAGATGGACAGTGAGATTCATGTTGTTTTCACACTGCCAGCAGCATCCATTCTGCAGCCTGTGGACCAAGGAGTCATTTTGACTTTCAAGTTTATTATTTAAGAAATACATTTTGTATGATGTTAGCTGCCATAGATACTGATTCCCCTCATGGATTTGGGAAAAGTAAACTGAAAACCTTCTAGAAAGGATTCTCTATTCTAGATGCCATTAAGAACACCTGTGATTCATGGGAAGTGGTCAAAACATTGACATTAACAAGAGTTTGGAAGAAGTTGATTCCCACCTTAGTGAATGACCTTGAGGGGTTCAAGGCTTCAGCAGAGGAAGTAACTGCAGATGAGGAAATATTAAGAGAACTAGAAATAGAAGTGGAGCCTGAAAGGATGACTGAATTGCTGCAACCTCATGACAAAACTTTAATGGATAAAGAGTTGCTTCCTATGGATGAGCAAAGAAAGTGGTTTCTTGAGATGGAATCCACTCCTGGTGAAGACTGTTGAAATGACAACAGAGGATTTAGAAAATCATATAAACTTAGTTGAGAAAGCAGCAGCAGGGTTTGAGAGGCCTGATTCCAACGTTGAAAGAAATTCTATTGTGAGTAAAATGCTATTAAAAAAGCATTGCATACTGCGGAGAAATTATTTGTGAAAGGAAGAATCAACGGATGCAGCAGACTTCACTGTTGTCTTATTTTAAGAAACTGCCACCTCTACCCCAGACTTCAGCAACCACCACCCTGATCAGTCAGCAGCCATCAACATCCAGCAAGACCCTCCACCTGCAAAAAGATTATGACTTGCTGAAGGCTCAGATGATAGTTAGCATTTTTTAGCAATAACTTTTTAAAATTAAACCATGTACATTAGTTTTTAGGTATAATGCTATTGCACACTTACTAGACTAGTTTAGTGTGAACATAACTTATACATGCACTGGGAAACCAAAACATTCGTGTGACTCACTTTCTTGAGATACTCCCTTTTTTGTGGTGGTCTGGAATCGAACCCATAATATCTCTGAGATATGCCTGTAATGAATTGGCAGATCAACTGTAGAATCCTTGAAGGAAACACTTTCGGTGTTTCTTTGTCCTCCTAGAACTTACCTTCGGCACCTGGCTCATAGGTAGGAGCTTAAGAAATCACTGTTGACTGACTACCTGACTGACTGTGGAGTATTGGGCACTCAGCACAGTGTCACATGCCTTCTTTTTTCAGATGCAAGGCCAGAAGTGTAAGCCAATTAACTTGGTTGTTAGGTTAGAAGAGTGGGAAACATTTAACCCTGGACAGCACATCTCCAGTGGAATATTTATGACCCAACTATATGCTGTCCGAAAGGCTTCAGTGGCTCACATGGTAGCTAACCTGATGGGCACCAAAACACCTCCAATGGAACAGTCAAAGGACCATGAATTCCTATCACATGCAGTGCTCAAAGAATTAAATTGTTACCACTTAATATTCATTGAATGTCAGCACTGTACTTTTGTACTAGGGGAAAACAGACGAGACACACTCTGTGCAGTGGGCTTTGTTAGCTATAATTAGATGGTGGTAGAAGAGTGTTGATACAGCAGTTCAGCAGTTAAAGGAAAGCAGTGCCCTTGGTACAAATGTGAATATATTTATACATCTGGCTCTGTTATGCTTACTTACTGTGTTTCAGCACCATTACTGTTCTGGGGTGTGACGACTAAACTGGGAGAACTTCTCCAGCTCAGAGTTTGAGGAAAATGAGCCCCTATTTTTCAAGCAACTCATTAATCCCATGTCCTTTAATTTTTGTTTTATTGTGGTAACTGGAATTCTGGCTTCTTTGTTCTCTTTTACACTAGAAATACCTGGGAGTTCCACCTATGGTCCTAAATTGCAGTTTCCACTTCCCTTTCTATATAAAGTCGGCCTGATTACAATGATATCTGGATGGGTCTTGACTGCATATGCCTTTGCATTGTCTGGAAAGTGCAGGCATATTTTTCGCTTCATGACTTCATAGATGATACTGTCTAGGGCAAAACTTAAAAAAGTAAAAACCAAGACACTTAACAAACATTAAGTAATAGTGTGCACAGAAAGGCAAAAACTGTGAAGAGGCTGTTCAGAAGAGTAAAATACAGGACTAGGTCATCTCTAAAGTCCCTTCCAATCCAAAAATTGCGTTACTATACTCACTTAAGCCTGGTATTTATTTACTCATTGTTTTGCTGGCCGGTTTTGCATATTTTTATCAGTCAAATGGAGAAGGGACTGACTTCTTGTGTCTAGGGCGGATGATGTAACATCACGAACATGAGTTTAACTCTCATGCGATCTAAATTTTCAGGGTAAAAATGAAAGCTTTAATGTCGCATTTGAAAACTTTTTAGAGATTGAATTCTGTGGAACGCATAAGCTCCACATCAGAATTTTCAAGTTCAGTGGGGGATGGTAAATGCATTAAAATCCTGTTAAAATGCCTTGTAAGGCTTATAGTCTGTTCTGACACTGAATTACAAGCTAATTGTGTACACAAGACTTTTACTGCACACTTGGCCTAAAGAAGAAATCCATGTCGTAACAAAAACGCGATTACAGCTTTTGTCCCAATCTATCAATGGGAATTGCAACACTGTATAAATTTGTTATTGGAAAAATAACAGATATGGCCAGAAGAGGATTCCACAGTGAAAGCAATAATGTTATCCTATATATATTTTTTATTGATTAAAAAACCCTCTAATGCGTCAAGACTGAGTAAATGAGAATGGTTTATGTGTTTGAATAGACAATGGGATATATAAACATTTGACAGTCAAGCTTCAAGAACAAGATTGGAGGCTTGGCACAAAACCTGGAGACTTAATTAGAAAACTGTTGAAGATGATAGCTCAGGCCTCCTCTAGGAAAGTCTTCCGGGGGATCCAGCCCTGTTGGTTCTCCGTCACCTGTACTAGCATTTGTCTTTGATAAACAGCTCACTGGTCCATGAGTTCACACGGCCCTTGACGTCTGGCACTGCAGATGCAGAGGTTCCAACCAATCAGACTGTATCAAGGAGATCATCAGGATTCTGAGTGCACTTGAAGCCTATCACATGAGGAAAAGTGGAAGAAACTGACTCCTCCACTGGGGCAGAGAAGATTTCAGGGGATTATAATACATGTCCTCAAATATTTGAAGAACGGTCCAACGGGGAAGGGACTCGAATTCTTTGTTATCTCAGAGTACAGGACTGGGATTAAGCGGGAAGTTGCAGGAGGGAGATAAATGTTTTTATTGACTGTGGTTAACGTGCCCAGTGCTGTGTTAGCTTGTGTGTGTGTGTGTGTGTGTGTTTACTACTGGTAGTAGTAAAAATATTACCAATTAGTTAAAAAAAAAATCCTAACGTTTATTGTCTGCAGTGGGGCAGACACTGTTCTGAGTGTTTTGAATACATTATTCCTTTTCATCCTCATGGCAGTCCTATGAGTTAGGTCCTGTTTTTTAATATCCATTTTGTTGGTGAGGAAACCAAGACACAGGAGTTTAACATGTTGCTTGGTGTCACACTGTCAATAAATGTGGAGTGGGATTCTGAACCAGATAGTCTGACTCTGTAGCCAAACATGCTCCACCCTTACATCTCTGCATTTGGAGCGCATGCTGTGCACCAAACCCAGCACATGACAATTTATATCCTTATGGCATTATAGTAGATTGGGCATTAGTATTCCCATTTTACAGATGAGGAAAAAACTGAGGCCAAAAGAGTGAAGTAACTTGCCCAAGCCAAATAACTCAGCCAAATTGTTACTCAGTCTTCAGGCTCCAGGCCAGGTCACTTTGGACCACGCTCAGCTTTCTCAGAGTTTCTGGATCAGAAACTTTCTAGCAAGTAGAGCTGTCAGTAACCAGAGTGGGCTGCCCAGGAGGTGGGGAGGGGACCCACCAGCTCTCCTTCTCTGGAGATGGAGAGAGAAAATTTACGTCGGGTACACAGGGCAGGGATCGAGGGGATTCAGGCTTCATGTAAAGCGTTAAACCCGACGCCCCGTAAGGTTTTGTCCAGCTCTGGGATTTTATGATGCTGTGTTTTCTTCTCATCTTCCCATGTCATCTTGTTTTCCCCTGGGTGTACTCAGATGAA